AATACTGGTGAAAGGATGTTGTCAAAATATGTCTAGTTCTACAGATCCAAATGAAGTTGGATACGTTGGAATTCTGGGCTCAATATTCAGGTTTTGTCAGGTAGGATTCCTCTCATTATAGCGAGTTAACCTTCAAGCCTCTTCTGCCGGATAACCACACTCAGCAATCTTGTTCATCTTGAAAATCGGTGCAATTTCTGCAGTAGGATGTTGGTTGAAGCAGCGACCACCGTAAAAGTCGTTTCTGTCTTTAGTTACTTCGTTGCGACTAAGGGAATCTGACTGTCGGGCCATTCGCTGGGCTGATCCGTTAAGAAAGCCAGTCCATGTAACCATGATTTTAAATTTCCGAAGTTCAGCACACCCCTGGAGCAGTAGTCAGCTGGATTGTCACATGGCTGTATGTGCCGTCATTGACACCGCTTCTTCGTGAATGACAGCCAAACGGTTGGCATTAACTATGCTGGAGCGCGTCTGTACATTGCTAACATAGTGAAGAACTATGACGGCATCAGTCCAGTAAGTTACGGTTCATTCGATTGAGTGAAAAACATCTTTTTAGCATCTTCGCCAACTTCACGGCTNACGGCTAATACTGCTGCGGCTAGTACTAGCCTAGGTATTGAGACTGCCTATAGGGGAGCGACCCTGGTCTTAGCGAATAGTATACTGCTATGCCTCCTTCCACCTGGCCGAGACGAACCAATGTAGGCCACCACCGAGTATCCCACCTCCGACGCGTCCGAAAAAGCGCATAACTCACTTTGCTCTCCGTTGTGCATTCCTGGTATGGGACGAGGGTGTCGTATATCGCCCAGCTTGGATGGGCTCAGCCACCAGCTTTGCCAGGTCTTGTGATCCGCTATGCATAGGGTCTCATCCCAAGTAACCTTTTCTGTACACAGGTCCTGCAACAGAATCTTGCCCGGCAGTAGCCACGGTGCAACGAACCTCATTGGACCGTAAAGGCCGGCCAACAGAATCTCTCTGCGAATCCCCGCCTTCTTAGTTAGCTGAAGTTGGAACAAAAACTCGTCTTTCTCCGCGTCC